AGAAAGGACCATATGAGAATGATAAATAGTGAAAGAAATGAGAATAAGTCTAAACCATGTGATCAATCATATCAATGGTTATGATAAAGTCAAACTATGAACAATCATTAATGACAATCTAGTAATTAGTGATCATATTGTGATTAAATATGTGTATTTGACCAATAATTAAGGGTAAGATAGTAAATAAATAATTAAACATATCAAGTGGGACCCACTCATTAAATTACTTCACCATACCTATTTCTCTCTCCTCAATCTACCCACTCATTAAATTAATTCCCCATACCTCTTTCCCTCTCCTCAATCTCTCTTCTCTACATTTTCACGCACTGAACAGGTCTGCACACACTACACACACACAATCTGGCAGTTCGATCGCCATATCGCCACCGCCGTCCTCCAACATTCATCCGTTTCTCGTCCACCTTCCGGCTACCAGAGCATCGCCACGCAACCGCCTCCGCCTGAACCACAATCAGCATCCCGCCACTGCCATCGCCACCGTATAAAACTAGTCCGCCGTGTCGAGCACCGCCGTCACCACCCGACACCGGCAACGTCTCGGCCGTCGCTTCCAGACCGACCCCCGCTTCCAGCCCTTGTCGTCTGTCGTCCGTTCATACTGCCTCCGTCAACATCGCGGTTGTCGGTAGCTTTAATGCTGTGAAACTTACCGACATCTTGGCCGTTCGCTGGAAAATCGCCGGTGAACATCGGTGGCGATTAACAGGCCGAGTCGGCCGACAACGACCACTGTGATTTTGGCCGAATAAAGTAGTTTGATATAGGATTTGTGTTGTTTGAGTTTTGGGGTTATTTGTGTGAGAATTTGATTTATTTTAGGGGCTTAATTGCAATTTATAAAATTTTATTTGATTTCATTTGAGTACAATTGGCAAATTGATAATATAACAAGAGTTTAATACATACACAACAATGCATAAATTGCACTATATTGATTTTTTATATTTCAATAGAAAATCATAGCTTCATATTTGTATACAAAATAATAATAATAATAATAATAATAATAATAATAATAATAATAATAATATTTTTAATATATTTTGGTTTTTATTTTAGTTATTTAAATACAAAAAATGTCATCGTATCGAAAATACTCTGTATATAAAAAGATAATAATAACAATCGGAACAATATATTTTTTTTTTGTACCGAATTTATGTTCGTTGGATCTCGTTCGATTTTGTGCAATACGGTAGACGTTTATGTGCAATTAGCATAACCATTATGTGCATTCCCAATACATATAAGAATATATATATATATATATATATATATATATATATATATATATATATATATATATATATATACCACGCTCCGGTGAGAAAGGGTCTCAATGAAAGAAACGAGAATAAATAAGGAACATTGGATTAATACTATCGGACGGACATCAAGCAGTTGGGCGATCGAATACTGTAATTACCTCTAAGGGCACGCTGGTAATTAAACTCATCTTCTCATTACGCTGCAATTAAACGCTCTTGGGCTCAAAGCTGTGAAACCCGCAGCTTGGGGGAACAACAGAATCGCGAATCCTTAGCTCAAGAGTAGACGATTTCCGCCAGAAATTCGACACATCTTGAAATAAATTATTTTGTTCGATCTTAACGATTGAATTTTGTGCATTTACGATCTGATTTCTTTGTCTATCGCGTGAGGTTTTTTCCCGAACTGTATTGTAGCGAGCTATCTTGGAAGATTAAAAAATCCGATTGATGCGCCGTACTCCAAGATCGACGACTTCAAACTCCAGGTTAGACATATCGAACAACAAACATAAATCGTATAAACGTTCAAAAATTGGGGAAATTTATTCATTTTATTAACAATATTTGAACAATAATTGTTGGGTAAATACCTAGATGATATAATTTCAGAATTCTTGTATTCTAATCTACGATAAAGAATTAATTCCCCTGATTCCTGCACTTTTTTTCTTCTTTTTAGGTGAATTGGTCGAGCTGCAGTGCTAAAGGAAATGAGTGAATCACAGTCAGGTATGGTGCAACTGTCGAAGTAGTTATGTGCAACTGTATGGTCATAAATGTGCAGTCTACTAATATATTTTTTCTTTTCTTGTATTTCGATTTTATCGCAAACTTTCAAGGCTCGCAAACAACAGACGCACATCACCAATTGGTATTCACGCCCGGGGGAACTAAATATTGGATACCACAATGCGAAGGACCGATCAAACCTTACAAGGGGCAGCGGTTTCGGGAATTACACGAAGCTGTCGACTTCTACAAGAGATATGCTCTAAATGTTGGGTTCGATGTGAGACACAGCACCTTGGTTAAAGCTAGAGACAAGACAATTCTTTGGAAATACATAGTGTGCTCACGGGAAGGTTACAAGCATCATGCTGTAATTGATACAACAGCACGTGACGAGGGTCGTGCAATGAGGCGTAGAGTGTCCAATCAGGTAGGTTGTAATGCGCGTATTGGGTTACATGTTGATGGTCTGAATGGATATATTGTTAAATTGTTCGAGGAGAGACACAACCACCCAATGACATCGGACAACTGCAGGTCACAACTGAAAATCAACAGGTCAATGAATGCTGGACATGAGACGTTTGTACTAAATTGCATAAAAGCTAATATAGGGCAAGTCCGTTCATACCGACTATACAAGAAAGTTGTTGGAGGATATTCGAACATTGGGGCAACAAGCACGGACTTCAAGAACTTTAAGAGGGAACTCCTTGCGTACATATCAGGAAGAGATGCCCAATTAGTGATTGAGAAGTTCTTTAAACTTCAGGAAATCAGTACCGCTTTTTATTTCAAGTATGATCTTGATGAGAGTGACGGTTTGAAAAGACTCTTTTAGGCCGATCCAATCTCTAGAAGGAACTACGGATCTTTTGGTGATGTCGTATCGTTTGATGCAACTTATCATACGAACAGGTGCACACAATTTTAACATGCTTTCAACTTATTTCTGTTAATTGCATAATTTAGATATTCACGATTGTTTGTGGACTAAATCAATATTTTACGACCTGTAGGTACAACATGAATTTTTGCACCATTTACCGGCATAGATAATCACAACAAGTGCGTAACATTTGCAGCTGCCCTGATATCGAATGAAGACGTCGACTCGTATGTTTGGGTGCTGAAGAACTTCAAAGATGCAATGATTCATGAGCCTGAATACATTATCACCGACCAAGACCCCTCGATTGGCATTGCAGTTCCTAAGGTATTCGAAACTTGCAAACACCGTTTTTGCATGTTGCACATAATGAGTAAATTGGGTGACAAGGTTGGACATGCGTTGAATAGTAATGTCGAATTCAAATGAAGGCTGAATGAAATTGTGTGGTACAGAAATATAGAATCTGTAGAGTTTAAAACTAAATGGTCGGCAATAATGACGGATTATATGTTGGATAAACACAATTGGTTCACTGATATGTTTGCGAAAAGAGAGTATTGGATACCTGCTTTTTTTAGAGATGTCAAGATGAGTGGCCTAATGAGAACTACGTCAAGATCCGAAAGCGAAAACCATTGGTTTGGAAATTTCACAAACAGCCATTCAAGCCTGGTCGAGTTCCTACTGCATTTCGACAGTGCGATGGACGCACAACGAAACACGTCGATTATGCTTCACAACGATAGTGAATCCCGACATGCTAACTTGAAGACACCTTTGCCGATTGAGAAGCATGCACTGTCTATCTACACGACAACCTTGTTCTACCGCGTACAGGATGAGATATGTGCCGCATGCTTCAATTGTTGATTAATGAGCTTAACCGAGAATGACAAACATACGGAGTTTGAAATCAAGGACACGAGAGGTAAGACTTTCACTGTTACTCATGACATCAGTCTCAATACATCTACATGTTCGTGCAAGCACTTTGAATTGTATGGGTGGTTGTGTAGTCACGTGTTCGCTGTTCTAAGAAATTTGGACTCGAAAATTATACCATCAGCATATATACTATCGAGATGGACAAAGACGGCTATTAATAATCCCTCGCACAATGTTCTCACTGATGCCGCTGCAAAATTTGCACGTACTGATGATAAGAAACACTTGATGAACAAATTGTGGTCGGATATACATATATGCATGGGGTTGGCGGAGCCTTGCATTGACCGGCTCACAGTTTTTTCCAATATCATAGAAGCACAAAAGATTAAGTTGATGTATGCTCAAGAAGGGGGCACGAAGATCATTGATAGAGAGCACCAGTTTGAGTCTTTTGTTGGCACGTCGGCACCTACAGAAGTAAGCATTAACCCTCCATCGGTTTCTAAAAACAAAGGTAGTGGCAAGCGTATAAAGAGTGCGAAAGAAAAGGCAATTGAAAGTTCACAAAAGAAGAGAAGAGTTTGCAAGTCGTGTGGCGAAAGGTCAGGACACAACGGGCGCACGTGCCCCAAAAATTTGTAGGCGAATTAATCAGGTAACATATGTATATATATATTATTTTTTTTAAACAATATCAAGTGCGATATATGATAACATATATATATATATTTTTTTCCCGGTGCAATCACAGGTCGTGGACGCAATGATGATAGGAACTATGCTGGAGCAAGTGCTACAATTATATATTATTTTGAACGATTGATGCCTGATGGTTCATGCTACAATTTTATTTTATTTTTTTTTTTTGGATTTTTTTTATGTCAAAGATCATAATATTATTCAGTTTTATGTTAATACTAATTGACGCGTTATCGAATTGATCGTGTTCTACACAAATTCGTGTAGTGCACAAGCACTAAATGGGGAAAATGCACAGCAGGGTATTGAAATACACGAGTGAACGCGGCAAACGCGTGAAAAAATGACTTATATCATCATGTCTCGGAATAACACTATAATGCACACTGTATTGTATGTCGTTGCACTTTATACAATCAACTGTTGCAATATCGTCCAAAAATCGTTGCACCTTAATACTTGAACCCTCCTTGCACAACATAAAATGGTAACATCATATGGATAAAAAAAAGTAACACATAACAAATTGTATTTTAAACGCGTGCAACATAAATGTGCACTTATCTGTCAACAAAAAGCGATAATATGCCACCGCGTGAAATGTGCATGCACTATATACAATATACAATTGCACTCTACGCATCATCTCATTGCACCTTGTATCGCATTACACTGCACCTTATCGTCCATGTAACCCGTACAAGACGAAACGAACCTCTTATGCAAAAGCGTGAAACTTACGTGTAAACATGTACTTCATTGGAATTTCAGTCCATTGTACTGGAATAGAAGTGGCATTTTATAATTTTGAAGACATATCTAATAAGCACATTAAATAATTAAAAGTTGCACTTTACAGATAATTTCATTGCAACTTATACAACTACCCATTGCACTATACACGTCGACTGATTGCACTTTACCAGCAGACACAATCGTGCAACAGCCGTGCAACACCTAATATACGACAACCGTGCATATTATCTCAACTACCCAGACCGAAAAAAAAAATAGCAACAAAAAAAATATTTCACCATGTTAACCGTCATAAAACTGACGTGCCAAAACGTACCAACGTGCGTTCAAAAACTGTCATAAACGACCAACATAAAACGTACTAACATGTGTTCAACATCCATAAAGATGCCAACATACGTACTTACAAAATATGTTCGAAATCAGTCGAAAACATGCAGCGAATTAAAATCCAACTCGTCAATACAATGTAATATCGAACCTAACATATTATGAAACAACCTGTTACTTCACCCCCTCTGTCATAAACTTCTTTGCTTGCACAAGATTGTCATCTTTTGCATTATTGTTTGAGGCAAACGCTATCACATAGCAATACCGATACCTCATAAGCTCAAGCTGCCCCTTGTCGGCCTTCTTCATATTGGAGTTCCAGCTTTTCGTAATGCGCCCCTTGAACGTCTCCATGAGACGCATTGTTATAACACCAGCATCTACGACATCGAGACCTTCAGTCCAATCGAAATCAACAACCTCCGGGATTGAAAGTGCAACTGCTGTTGAAAACTTCACCATATGCATGCGTCCTAGATACTTTGCAACTGATTGTTTCTACATAGAAAAATAAAAACAATATGACAATACAAAAACAAAAGACAACGTAACAGGAAAAAAAAAGAAAAAAAAAACAAAAAACTATATATATGATTAATACACCGACATTAATACAAGTGAAGGGTCGTACCAAAATACCAACACGTGCCAAGACAGATTTCTTGATACTGTTATCTTTACATGCACCCACGCTATCTAGCACGGTGAACTTTCGAGTTTCCGGGACAATGCACACCAACCCACTGAAACCTTCGGAATGCATAGGAAATACGAACTACAATAAAAAAGGACCATGTAAAACAAGTTAAGACAAAAAAAAACACTTTCATTACAATCAAGTATCAAAACACACGACTTCAAACTACAACCAAACAAATAATCTTACCAGTGAAACTTTATTGATGTTGTGATGGCTCGTCTGATCAAATTCTGCTTTGAACTTGTCCTCAAACTTTCTATAGCTTATATCCTTCTTTCTTTTTCCCTTGAAAAATAGCTGAGAAGTGCAAGATGTTTATCACAAGTACCATGTCAACGAATATACAATATATGATCAAACATAATTCACATAAATATATTTGGACACACCTCGTTGCATGGATACGTAGATGAAAAGAAACATGCAGGTGATGCACGACTTTTAAAATTCTCGTTATAGTTCATGATATTAGCCCACAGGTTAATAAGCTCCTCGTTAATTGGGGTATTCGGGGCCAAACATGCAACCACACTTCGTTTCATCAAATATTGAACGGACTTGTATATAATCACGTCACTGTTCGTTGGTACCGGCACCCAGCAAAATATATTTAGATAAATACGCTGAAAAGTAAACATAAATAAAATGTATGAAAACAATATATACACATGAGTCTTACTCGTCAGCATTCTGATTCTTGAGAAGCCAATTAACCACCATTCTCTCTTTCCCGTCAAGTTCTTTAACGACATCGATCTCACGCCGCTTGAAAGGTGACTTAATTGCACTACCAGCCATAATATGCCTTTTCGGCCTACCGGTATCCACAGCAGCATTATCGACAATGACGTCAACACTGGCCCCTGATCAACATGTATACAGATACCAAATAAAACTCGTGACAGTACAAATAAAAAGCTGAAAGAAACAAATAAAAAGAAAAATAGAAAAGCAAAGCGTATGATAAGCTTATACCTTCAGAGGCACGATCACCAGCCACCATGCCATGTCCATTGTCACACGCTAAATTCTCAGTCAAACCGGTTTCATCTACAATAATGTTATAGATAGTCAATAACTAATCATTTCAATATAAATAGACAAATCACTCGAAAGGCAATCAATGTAATAAGTACCTCTCACGCACTCAATACCAATATCAACTGCAACATCATTCACCGTCGTACCACAATCAGCTACAATTGAGTATAAGCCACAAATGAGTATAAGCCGTAAAAAGGGTATACATCAACCTTCACATGAGATTATTCTAAACATGTAATGATAATAACAACTACCTGATGGCACTTCCACATTGGAAGGCCCACCAGTATTGAATTCGTCAACATTATTATGCGTCCTGCATCAACATCATCATCATCTGATGAAAGTCCCAAGCCTAAGCTATAACTGGGGCCTTCGTAGTGAATCCGTTTAAAACGATCTCGACGTGCAACAGCGTCAATAATGGCATCTATAGAAGCTAGGGTATTAGGGTCGTTCCAGAACACGTCATCCACTAGCTGTGTTGGTGCAATATTGGCAGGTTCTTCATTGCAGTTGGGATTGTGTTGACCGGTCTTCACTTTTACATCTTAATTAGACACCCCAAGTAGCATCTGTGCAGCACCTTGCATTTTAAAGAAATTCTCATCGCCTAATAAATCTTTCGGCACATTCTCGACAAGCTGTAAAATTTCAACACCCGTCGCGGCAAGAATGCTGGCTTTTGATGCAAATTCTTGTACAAAATCCTGGAAAAACGAAAAAAAAAATGGAAAAACACGAAAAAACACAAATAAACGTAAACAACAAACAAGAGTTGTAATAATAATAAAAAAAAATGTAAACAACACAAGGCATTTAAATGAGTAAATGACAAGTTTATTAATCGTATCAACACGCACGGGATCATACGGAATTAAGGGACATAACTCGTACAGGTTGCACAAAATTACTAGACAACTTGCACATTTATGTGTACATGGTTGCACTGAACATCACTCACATATAAACCATAACTCATAGCTGACAGATTAAGGGATTCTATCTAACACATAGCTTCCAGACTAAGGGATCATAAAATTAATGCGTGAACGAGCACATAGACAACAAAGATCGAGACAAAAATATCAATATACAAACCCAAAAAGTATGTCATGTCCATGTTTAGTAACAGAATAAAAATCATGTATCAAAACACACTAATATAACATGGTCATACTCATATATCATAACATATCGCATAACATGATTCTCACAGACATTCATGCATGACACACCCCTGTATATATGGAAATACAAACCTGAACACTGAGTTCCGAAGTGCGCTTCGTATCATCACCATTAGGACTGATAACTTTCTTTTCCACACGGAGAGAAGGATCTGGAACGCGTATGTCTACATCCACATAACCCCTCCCGAACGCACCGGTTAATATCTCAGTTCGTTCTCTGTCCTTCAACAGATCGTTGTTCCATGCTTTAAATATCGGGAATGTTCTTGCAACCGTCCTAATCGATAAAACCACCTTATCGACATAAAACAACTGCATGTCGCACTCGGAAAAAACAAAAGAAAGAAAAAAAAGTAAAAGAATAAGAAAGATGATATATCAGACAAAATGAACATGTATGGTAGCTTAGGTAAAGTTTAAATAATTATTAATGTATATATCAATGAGAATCAGTACTGACCGTGAGAAATAGCAGGGGTCCTGTGAAATTCTTACGTCTTCGATTATCATTCCAGGACTTCTTCGTTCCCACCAGACACCGAATCAAATAGGAGCACCAATTCATCTTAACAACACTCGATAAATCATCGAGAAGGTGTATAATACGTAAATTGGCCATTCCATAACTGGTGCTCTCAAATAAACACGTTACCATCAGGACGATGAAGTTGCGTTTGAACCAGTCTTCACACCCCTCACAACTCTGAATCATATCCAACACTTTGGTCGCTGTGATGTTCGTCGGCTTGCTGACCTTATACAGCCTGACCCAGTCCTTTAACAACTCCGACTCCGACTTTTTCTTTTTGTTCACGATCTCAATCGTTCCACGAGGAAGACTGTAATGCCCAGATTTTTATTTACTATTTATGGAGCTCGACTATATTTCCATAAATATTAAGCTTCTAAATTTGATG